CACCCCAACCGGTCGCAGCAGATGGCTGCCCCTTCCTGAGCCTGGTTCTGCTGGAGGTTTCTTCCTGTTAAAAAGGAGTTTTTCCTTCCCACTCTCGCCAAAGTGCCTGCTCATAGGGGGTCATATGATTGTTGGGTTTTTCTCTGTATCTATTATTGTGCGATCTACTGTACAATATAAAGCGCCTTGAGGCGACTTTTGTTGTGATTTGGCGCTATACAAATAAAATTGAATTGAATTGAATTGTCCTCCTGCTCACTAGCGATGGGATTTCCGGCTCTTTTTAGAGAACCGGCTCTTTCGACTCGACTCACTAAAAAGAGCCGGCTCTTTTGGCTCCCAACCGGCTCTTCAGGTTGTTTTGTTGCTTTAATTAATTTATTATGAACAACAATTTGAAATTATGCACAAAAGGAATTACTAATGTAAAAAAAACAAACCTGTGGTTTTATTTAAATATGTTTATATATAAATATCTCCAAAGCACGTACAAACTCCAAAACACATTCCTAGAGTTAACCGAACTTCCAAAACAGCTACCTCACTTAAATTACACAATTGAAAGTATATGTGTATTGTTTGTGTATTTATACACAGTCACTCATATATATTCAAATAAAAAAAAATAAAAAAAAGTACATTTACCTGTTATTACCACACACCAAATCCAGTCGTTGGTACTTCCTGGCTTGTGTAGCCACTAGGTAACAAAAGCTCAACACTGCCCCTATAGCATCCTGGAGCACTGCTGTTGTGTTTTTTTTACATGTTTTGGAGTTTGTACGTGTTTCGGGGTTTGTATGTGTACGTGCTTTGTCTCTAGGGCCCACCGTAAATATACTTTTATTTATTCACTCCACATAAAATAAAATAAATAAATCATATAATACAAAAAAAAAAACTATTTACATTTTAAACTTTTAACTATTTAAATTTTCAGCGTTTTCCTTTTAAACAAATTTAAAGTGAAACAACACAAAACACTGCAAACCACAACACAATTAAATCTAAATTAAAATATGAAAACAAAAAGAAGATGCACATTCTTTGTCATATAGGTCTACGTGAATAAACTTTCTGAATCCTTTATCATCTGCAACTGAAAATAGTTGTGGATGATCACTATACCTTTCTAATGTGACGTTGTTGTCCCTGGCTCTCTTTCTCCCTCTCTCCCTCCCGCTCTGTTCCTGAGCTACTGGAACAGAGCACAGGCTGCTTTGGATGCTGCCCCCTGGCCCCGCGACCCGGCCCCGGATAAGCGGAAGAAAATGGATGGGTGGATGTATGGATAGATGTATGACGTGTTTCATTGTAATTATTGTTTTTTTTAACCCTGTCATGCATGAATTATGACAACCGCAATCAGGATTCTTTTCTTAAGTATTTTTATTAATATTTTCATGCCTGAAGGTGAATAAAAATACTTAAGAAAAGTATCCTGGTTGTTGTCATAATTCATGTATGAAAGGGTTAACAGCTTCCTATCTAACATTCACACACAAGTATGGATGAGCAACTTGGGGATTGTGTGTTCTCCAAGGATATTTGGCATGCAGACTGGAGCGGTCAGGAATCAGACCAAAACCTTCCAATTAGTAGATGTCCTGCTCTATCTCCTGAGCTGCAGCCACCGCTTTAATGCTCTCTAGTTTGATACTTGTTAATTTCAGAATATCTAAGACAATTATTAACCACTACATAATACGTGTCCATGAAGCATACAATCACTACATAGAATTAAATATGTCACCCACAATTAAACTGAATATAATGGACTGGTATTTATATAGCACTTATTCTATTCTTGCAGACCACTCAAAGCACTTTGGACTAACATACATATTTAACGATTCATTCATTTATTGCATTGTTCTGTTCACTATTCTTCTTCACCTCCACAGCCAGTGTAGAATTGCAGATCACCATAAGATCCGTATTTTAGGCTAAATCGACAAAAATAGATATTAAAAAGAGTTAGTCATTTACCAGTTTATAAGATTTATAAGTGTACTAAAAGGGGCAGATAATACATCTTTTACCTTTGATGGTCTTGTTGAGCCCATGCTTGAGTGTCCAGAGCAGGGGTGCCCAATCCCGGTCCTCGAGAGCTACCGTCCTGCAGCTTTTAGATGCATCCTTGTTCCCACACACCCGAATCAAATGAATGGCTTGTTATCAGGCCTTTGCCAAACATGATGGCATGCTGAAGAGGTAATCAAACCATTTGATTCAGCTGTGTTGGATTAGGGATGCATCTAAAAGCTGCAGGATAGTAGCTCTCGAGGACTGGGATTGGGCAGCCCTGGTCCAGAGCTTTGGCTGATGGATGTGTGTACTGGTGGATGAAGACGCAAAATCAGTTGTGACCACATGGTGGCAGGACAACCACAGTCATGGGTCATCATTCAGAGTCAGAACCTGTCATTTATGAGGCAGATATAGTGATTACAGTTGTTTCACTGACATATAGAACTTGTAGCGCTTTGTTTTTAGGTGGCACTAAGAAGTATACTTTTTTCCTAAAATATAATGTTGTGTTACAGTGGATGAGAGTGTTTCATTTGTGCACCACTCTGAACATCAGTGCAAAGCAGTCAGTAGTACTTTGTAATTTTGTGAAAAAGTGAAAGAAAAAAAGCAGTTGGGAAAAAAACCGTTATGCTCTTAAAATACCATCCTCCATGCAGTGCACTGAGTATGTTTGCCTCGGAGCTGCCTGGTTACTCTTTCACAAAGGACTACGCACATGTAAGCAGGTTTTATAGGCCAACGTAGAATACTGTATGCATGAACTGTACTTGTTGTTTTCAGCACTAGTCCCAAGATAGAGCACTCTTCATCAGAAGCAGCAATGCAGCCTGAAGCATATCCGAATAGAAATTCATAGCATGCTTTGCACATTCTTGTATCCCTAACAATCAAAATAAAAAGTGGCTTGGAGCAAATTAATTATACAGAGGGGCATCTTCATAAAATTCAAGGTCATACTCTCTGCAAATATCCCAAGATCTGCATGAAATATCTCCAGACAACAAGGATAGAGATTTAGACTTTCAAATATCGTGTTGATTGTTATTGCAATGCTTCAAATGTGAATCTGCAACATTTTAAATTACTTAATTATTCATTATTTGAAGAGCACTATCACATTGTGTGTGAATGTGTGCTTGAATGGGTGGATGACTGGATATGTAAAGCGCTTTGGGGTCCTTAGGGACTAGTAAAGCGCTATATAAATACAGGCCATTTACCATTTACATTCGATATGCACAACCCCAATTTCAAAAGAGTTGGGATGCTGTGTAAAATGTAAATAAAAACATAATGCAATGATTTGCAAATCTCATAAACTCATATTTGATTCATAATGGAAAAAAACATGTCAGATATTTAAATTGAGAAAATATACAATTTTAAGAAGAAAATTAGATCATTTTGAATTTGATGGCCACAACACAGCTGGGGAAAAAAAAGTCAGTCATGTTTACTTTTATGTAGCATCCCCTATTCTCATAAACATCTGGGAACTGAGTTGCTGGGGGTGAGGAATGTTGTTCCCTTCTTGTTGGATTCCAGCTGCTCAACAGTCCTGGGTATGCTTTGCCATATTTTTGATTCATTATGTACCAAGTGTTTTTATTTGGTGAAGGGTCTGACTGCAGTTGGGCCAGTTTAGCACTTAGACTCTTCCACTACGAAGCCATGCTGTTATGATAGGTGCAGTATGTGGTTTAGCATTGTTTTTGCTGAAATATGAGTCTGAAGGACACAGTAAATTATTTTCAAAACATAATTTAAAATTTCAATCCATCTGACCACAAACCAGTTTTCCATATTGCCTCAGTTAATTTCCAATGACCTTTGGCCCAGAAATGATGGTACCATTTCTGGATCTTGTTCACACACAGCCTCCTCTTTGCATGATGAAGCTTTAACCTTTATTTGTGGATGGCACAAGGGAACTGTGTTCACAGACATTAACTTCTGGAAGTGCAGTGCAGTGATTGCCATGACAGACTCATGCCTGTTTGTAATGCTGTGTATCACAGGGATCCAATATTGATTTTAGCCTTGTTTCTTGTGCACAGAGATTTTTGAAGATTCCCAGAATAGTTCTTTCATTGAAGAACATTATTCTATAGCCAGACTCAACATTATAGAATAATATTCAAAGGGTGACTGGACTCTGGTGTAGGTATAGAATGAGGACCTCTGTCAGTCAGGAGGTGCTCATAGTAAAGCCACTACAAGTTGCTCCTTTCACTACTCACTGCACAGTGAAAGGAGCAACTTGAGGTGGTTCAGCTACCAGGAAGAGGCCCCAGGACAGAAGAAAGGGAGCTGGAGAGATTATGTCTGTCAGCTAAATTGGGAATGCTTCAGTGTCCACCTGGATCAGCTGGAGGAGGTGGCTAGTGTAAGGGAGGACTGGTGATCTGAACCTGGATCAACAGCAGAAAAATTCTGTACATAATATATTACATGTACAGTTTTTTAGATGCAGTATTTTGTAGGTTGGAGAACTTCTGCCCATCTTGACTTCTGAGAAGCTCTGCCTAAGATGCTCTTTCGATGTTAATGACCTGTTGCCAGTTAACCTAGTTAGCAGCAATGTCCTTTCAGCTGTTTCTTTTTAGAATCACTTACTTTTCCAGACTTTTGCTGCCCCATCCAAACTTTTTTGAGACATGATGCTACCATCAAATTCAAAATGAGCGAATATTTTTCATGAAATTTTTGTTTACATTTTTTTCTGTGCATAACAATGAGTTTGAAATTTGCAAGCTACTGCATTCTACGTTTACTTACATTTTACTCAGTGTCTCCAACTTTTTTTTGGAATTAAAATCTATTTCTGGTGTCTGGTTTTACAAAGTTTGGCCACATTATTTTAGTGATATTTTTTGATGCATTATTGAAAGGAGCTGAAGTGGATTCAGCATTAGTGGTAATATTACTGAAATTCTTACTAAGGACTCCAAAGAAATATGCAAACGTATAAGGCATGTTGAATTTATTTCCCCTGCACCCACACATGAAAATGCAAACAAATAAACACAAAGATAATATTACAATACAAACATAGCATACTGTATTCCCACACTTTTAATGTGAAACAGACACTCAGAATTACAGATGCAGTGAAAAAGGGCAAGTTTTCCCAAGAGCAAAGTCTGAAACATTTCCTCTAATTGATTTTGAATAAGGTTATTGTTCTGTGAGAAAAGTTGCAACACTGCTACTGCATAACAACAGCTAGTTTTGCAGAAGACACAGCCAAGAGGCTTAACTTTCTGAGGTACACTAAGAGACAAACGTGCCTGATTCGATGGACAAAGTATTGTTTTTATACCTTTCTTTTTTTTCCTGACAGCTACAGAGACGATATTATTATAGAGAAGCAGAGGAAGAAGGTAAAGGAAGCGTCCAGTCAGACATGCACAACATGCAGCTGTTGTGTGCATGCAGGACAATTATACTTATCATATCATTAATACAGAAAACAATGTCTGATTATTGAAGTGCTACATTTTTTAACCTTCAAAAGGCATTTTTTTAGAATAAAGTTGAACAGATTTTTTTTCCTATACAAGAGCCTCCGATGCAAAATTAAAATTCAACATGAAAACCAGAGACAAAGAAAAAAACCCAACAACAACAATAAAATCAGTATTCACAGCATAACAATTCCAATTATTTCTTCTTCAATCGTACAATATGTGTAAAGTCACTATATACAAAAAATAATATAAATACAGCATCTGAAATAAATAGCATGGTAAATAACGATCACCCTTTCAATCAAGCAAAGCTACATCTCAGGGAGTGCACTGTGTACTGTCCCAGTTTAGACTGTAGTTGCCCCAGTTACACATAGAGGAGTGATGACACCCACTAGCCCAGCTGACAGTCAATAAATGCCAAAAAAACAAACAAATTGCACACACATGCTGCAAAGCTTTGTGTTAGCAGAGGTTATAACAATATTTAAACAGTAGAGGGAGATATATGCTCATTGGATGCTGCAATGGCTTTACTACATTACACTGACATGCTACTGTTTAGTCTAAATGACACGTCTGATCTTAAAAAAAAAGGAAATGAATGAGTAAAATTACAGTCTTAATTTTAAATAAAATTTTAATATTTTAAATTTGAATTTATATAAAACTTTGTGCTTGCAAATTTTCAATTTGGGAATGTGGGAGATTGACCTGCACTAGTGGAAGGCACTGAATAAATGTTTTAATTTTAATCATTCATATGTTCTTTAAAAAAAAGTCAACCAAATTAAGCAATCACAAATAAATATAGAATTAATTGCTTAACAAGGGAAAAATCTAAATTCATTAAAATATATCACATTTTGTGTTTCGTTTTCGTCTTTCTGCATTATATGTGAAGGTTTAAAGGCTTTTGACGCATTCAGCCCACTGAGGATGCATAATGGCTTAAGAAGTCACCCTGGCAAAAGCGGTGCATGCTAAGCAGAGGATCAGGGGTCAGAATGAAGGCAATTTAGACAGTTACATCCCAAGCTGAATTCATGCAAGTTTTATGCAGTGACCTTCATGACAGAAAGCATTTTAGGGGTCTTGCTCCACAGGACATGGCACGGAAAATGCACAGGCAAAAGAACACAGACAATAGTACAGAGACGTAAGCTCAAACACCTCTCTGTCACACTATCTGTATATGCTACATCTCTGTTACATCCATTAACTCCTCTCTCTCACCCTGTCCTGCACTCTCAGGCTGCCTCAGGAAGTGTGATGCCATGTGCACCAGACTATGACATGCAATTTCCTCAAAACCTTCATACAATGCAACCTCTCTTTCCCCTCGAAGACGAGCTGTCTTACAACCTTACAGGTGCATTTCTCATTCTTATATCCCCCTTTCTCTTGTAAAGCTCTCAAACATGTTCAACTGACCGCATGCATCGATATCTGTCTCCTTAGACCAAATCTCATTCTATTTCCAAGTTGCTCTGAAAATTCTTCTTCCAACTTTCTCTTGATTGATGAGATCACGTGGGCGTTTTGCCCTTTTGGGGGTCCAGGTTCAGCAGGCTCCCACAGGCCACAAACAGCTCTAACTCAGGCGGGAAGCCTGGGCTCTATCTTCAGGGAGAGATCGTAAAGTGTATCCTCATCCATGATCAGAGTCTTATCCAGAAGGTATTGGGTCACCTGGTTATAATCGAATATGGATGACAGGCATGATGATTAAAATATCTTTACGGCTACAGCTTCAATTATTTATTTTCAATTAAAGATTGATGTGATTTTGACTATAAGATGATCTCACAGGAAATACACCAATAGGATTTTGCAAATAAGCTATTCATTAAAGTAATCTGTTTTCTGGTTGGTCCAACTAATACCTGTTTGAAAGATGAGTACATTAGAGCAAAAACAGGAGACTGGGCAATTTGGGATGGTTTCTATTGTTCCATGCATTCTTTAAAAAAAAAGACTACCCATATATCAAAGGGATTTTCAGTAATCCTCTCAGAACAAGAGCCACGACAAGCACATCCAAGAATAATCTGTGCAGTCAAACCAAGCAAAACGAATTCCTTAAAACCACTCTCAAACCTCACTTCTTCAGACTAGTTTTCTTTTATTATTTTAGAAGCTTTTTGACAGTTTAAATGTTATCCTGCCCTTTGATTATATTGTTTAAGTAATAATAATTGCATGTCGTCTAAATGAAATAATGCCTTGTGATGTTTTTGATCTTTAGATAAAGAAAGGTAGTACAGATAAAAATTAAAAATAAAAGTACCTTGGGCTGATGCTCTATTCTGTACGGCGTCTGCTGGAACTGTCGGATCTCTCTGATGATGTGAGATATCTGAATAAAATATGGAATTTATCTTAATACTGACTTAACAGCGTGCACCTCAAGATGATCTGCTTCCAGTGCATTTATTCACACACGCTTACCATCCTCATTTTGGAGAAGTTAACAAGACCCTCCTCTGTAAAATTTGGTGTTCCCTCTTCTATAAAGGCCAAGTCTGTTAGATACATTCCCAAATATGGCACACAAGGAGGGTTGCAACTGGAATGAGAGAGTTAAAGAATAGCATACAAATCAACTTGCTTCCAAGTCCATAAAAACTCATTTTTTGATACGTCCGTCCGTCTATTCTCTCCTGCTTATCCCTGTCAGGGTTGTCGGAGTGTATCCCAGCTATCATACAGCAAGAGGCAGGGTACATTCCCTCCCACATTCACACCTATGGGAAATTTGAAATCACCATATAATCTAACCCACTAAAGAATAAAGCCGAAGCCACTGAAAGGCCTCGGCCAGATGACGGATTCAAACCCAGGGCCTTCTTGCTGTGAGCCAACAGTGCTAACCACTGCACCATTGTGCTGCGCTTTTTCTTACATATGATGGTATTTTAAAAACAAATGCAAAGTCTCACTTTTTCAGCGTCTCCCTCAGATTTTTAAATCGTCCTTCTGAGGACACAATCTTCTGCAGTTTGTCCATCAGGGCTTTAGTCTGGAAAAGATCACAAACAGGCATTTATAATGATCTAAAATGGCAAGATTTGAAACTTTCTCCAGCCATGAATAGCATTGCAGGCAGCCTGTCTGCTGAATGTTATCAGGATTAAGTAAAGAGCAGACAATAAACCTTACCGCTATTAACATTAAGTGCGATTAAGCACTCGTCTCTTCTCTGAAACCCTCTAATGGTACAGTATCAGTGCCAATGAAAGAATTCCCATTTGTAAACATTTTGGACAAAAGATGTTTTTTTTCTAGTGCTTCACGATGAGATTAAGTGTTTATACACTTTAGATCTTTAAACAAGTATTTCAGGTTTTGCATACAGAGAGGGTTGTTCAGGATTTACCCCACCTGTTTGCTGACTTTAGCCCAGGTCTTCTTCAAACGGTAGATAGCACTTCGATTGAGTGCGGATGTGATTTCCAATACCCCGTTGTAGTTGTTCAAACAGCGACATATGTCTGCCACAGCAACCCACTTCTCAATGGAGTTGGCCCTTGAGCCCACATCAGTATGGGTCATAATCTGCGATGCCACCAGGTTACTCATCTTCAAAAGAAAAAGAATAGAGTAGTATGGTATTAATGAAGAGCTATAGGTACTGAATCTTTACAGAAGAGTCTGGAAAAAAATGGTGCTTAAACACATTGGAAGAAGTTACATCATTGAAGTGCTGACTCGTTTTCATGATGTAAGGTGTCCTTTCTGTCTTATCGACCTTCATCCATCCCTGGCCCAGGAACTCTCTTCGAGAGGGAAGACAGAGATATACCCAAATGAGATCACACACACTCAAGTATAGCAGAGTATAAGTTTCATTTTCTAATGCCTCTGAAATCAGATGGTAAGCAAGTGCAAATCTATTCTCTGATGTTTGGAGTTCTAAAGTTGAAATAAAATACCATTAGTTTTCATTTATGTCCTTCTAAAAGCATGCCCAGTGCCCATAAAGGGGATTTATGTCTCTTTGACCTGATGCAGATCACATATGAGAGGACTGACTGGGTTTCATGAGAGGACTGACTCATAAGGGATGCTCCTGAAGACGATGTGATCCAGCAGAGTGATCTGTTCAGCCAGCTCCATCGCTGAGAGAGATTCAAAACACTCTGCCTTCGGGCAGTCCGCCTACACACACACACACATTCAGAGACAAAGACATAAAAACAAATGACCCCAAACAGAAGTGAGATAGTGAGATATAAATATCTAATAAAGAGACAGGCTGTGATAAATATGGTTTATGACATTTGACAGTCCCTGGGTAGCATCACTGTCAGCACAGAGTCTATTTACCCCTTCTGCCCAGAGCTTAGAACACTGTGAATGACAGACGCTTTTCACAATTTACAAACCCAATACGTCTATTTGTTTGTGATTTCCAGAGATAACCGATCCAATCTAGGAAATTGTCAGTGCTTGTGATTTTTTTTGTCATCATGTGCAACAGGTGGTGATAACTGTGAAAGTATTTCGCAGAAATTTGTAATACTTTGTAACTACATGAACAAAGCCATAAAATTAGGTATTGCAAAACAAGACATTTAAGCTATGTAGAAAATTACTTTTTCTCTTTTTATACTGGAGATAGAGTAGATAGATTAAAGCTTGCTAAATAAGCTCCTCCCTTATTGGGTTGCCAGAGCAGGTAGCTCCACATCCAGCATCCACATCAAATATGTGGATGCTGGATGTCCTTTCTGACACAACCCCAAAATGACTGGTGTCTCCTCCTGATCTTGAATAAGGACCTTTTGCATCTTAGGCAAATTTATAACTCGCTATATTATAGAGTCACTACTAAAGCTAACTGAATAAAATACCTTGAGATTTCAAAATAAATCTTTTTTTTATCTTATAGTGGGCATTCGTCAAGATGCCCACTGTAGATCCACTGCCTAAAACAATCTGATTTAGCTTTCTTCACCCTCCCCTTAAATCACCTTTCTTCTGAATGCAATGAGAAAGTTTGAACAGCATGTGGGTAGTGCTGTGCCTACAGCCAGAGCTGTTTGCCTGGGATAAACATATCGATGAGATCTCCGCTCCTCACTTTGATATAGATCCAAGAACAGATACTGAGGGTTTAGGGCAGCTGAATTTTGAACTTTGGCTCAAAGGAATTGTTAATATCAGTACCCAGGATGAAAAAGTTTGTATATATGACAGAAAATAGGGAAAAGCTTCATTTTCTCACCATCTGTAAGATGTCTTCTATTCTCAGTTGGGCATCTTCCTGATCATCTTGAGAAAGCGCACTATCAGACAGAATAGAGGAGAACAGTAAAAGTATTAGAACAAGAGAGTATTAAAAATTAAAAACAACACTATTTGATGACATATTTTTGTCATTCAAAGGTGCCAAAGTGCTTCGTGTACATGCTGCTTGTTTGTACGAGAGCATGTTTTTGTATGTATTTGAGTTTCAGCTGTACTTTAGTATGTTCGCAGTAGCTTTCCTCTCCTGAGGCAGAAGGTCTGGATCTCTAAGCACCTCCTCCAGGAGACAGATCACTGACATCTTAAGGTCCCCATTCATCTCAAAGTCCTAAGCACAAACAAATACATGTTTACATTATACAGACTTTGGTAGTAATGGTAACAGTAACACAAGCCTGATTTTGATTCAAACTAAAATCTTAACCAGAGAAGTGAAGATAAAGTGAAGTGAAGTAAACAAACAAACAACACAACTGGATTAAATGGAAAAATGTCCTCTATCATGGTATATTTCATTTTAGTTGGTGATATAATACAGAGTACTTTTCTGTTATTAGTAATATACAAAGCAGTTTGTCACATCCTCCGTCAGAATAGCTCTGATCATTGGGACCTCTGTCCTGTGGCACCAAGATGCTTTTGTTCTCGTTCTTGTGGTTTTAGGCTCTTTGTATTGGTCTCGTTTCAGTGAATCCTTCAGATGCTTGACCAGACTGGGATGAGAAGAATTTATAGGCTGGGTCTTTAGGCTCTTTACTGTGTTTCTTGTGGAGGATTTAGGTCAGTTTGCCAGTTAACCATTTATAGCCAATTATATTTCATTCTTCTAAATACTGCTGCTTTTTTGATACCTGGTTTTTAGCACTAGATACATTTGCTTTTTTACTCAGATTTTTAATTTAGATTTTTTTAACCAACCTATTTTGCAGAAGTATTCCCAGAGGCACAAGTACCCATAGTTAAGAACTTGCATAATAAGACAATTACATTTCATGAAGTCTGTTGTTCAGCTGATGTGTAAGGTACTTTAAAATACCAAAGAAACAGCTACCACTGCACAGCTGATTAAATAGATGATTATTAATCTCAGTAGATATATTGTTAACAAACTGAGGAATATTATTCACATATTATAATTTCACATACTACCTGAACTACAGGTGATTCTACTCTTGTAATTAATATTGCCTCAAGTCTCCACACAATAAAAGCATCACCTGATCAATCATCAGTCACGGCGGCATGATACTTCTTCCAAATCCCCGTTCCTCTTTCATTTCTTACAGTCTTTTCACTTTCCTCTCCTCCAATTTTCTGCTTTACTCCTACCTCAATTTAACTCCTGTTTAAAGGTCAGTTTTAACAAGCTCTTTCTGTTCTCTGGCCTCTAAAAAATAAGTGGGTGTCTGTATGTGTGTATGTCATTGTGCGGGCCTGTGTGTTAATAAGTTGACTAAAGCTGGACTGTCATCACAGCATTTTGTTTTATCGAAGAAAAATACATAAAACATATTGATGCAGTTAGAGTGTAAAGATCTCTGCAGGGAGGCAGGCAATTACCTTGATGTTCAATTCATTAGAGGCTGGCTGTTTAGCACAAGAGTAGGCAGGCTGAGCCAGCTGACCAGTTAAAACAATATTTGGTGTGTGTTTGTGCACAGTTTGCTGTTTACGCGATCAACTGGGAGCAGTGGAGCAGAGCGAGAACGCATCAATCACCTGTTTTAATGAGACCGCAGACTTGATCACCCCAGCAAAACACTGGACCCACACACACACACACCCACACACACAACATGCACAGAGAGTGGTGGGTACAGACAGACCTGTGAATGTTTGGAGACCCAGTGGCGCAGAACATTGAGAACTCTATTAGTTGCAGCTCGGCGAATGATGAACTCTTTATCACAGGTTCTTTCAGAGTTAGTAAACACTGGATGGAAAATCAAAAACAAACAAAAAGCAGGCATTTCAAAGTTTTGAATATTAAAGCATCACATGAGCTATTTTTTAAAGGTTCATGATTATGGAAACTGAGTTATGGATTATCCACTGACCCTGTCCCCCAAGAGATGTTACTGCTTTAACAATATTAAACCTATATATAACTAAAAAAAAGAAACAAAATTAACCGTATAATGTTTTTATTTTATGCCCACCACGGGGTTATTATACTTCTGGTTTTTATTTTTGAGTTATTATTCACTTTTACATTGTTTTTTCTTTATATTTCCTTTTTGATTTTTCTGGTAGCTTTTGCAATCAGAATTATGATCTGGATGAATTGTTTAATCATTTTTACTCTGTGTGTGTGTGTGTGTGTGTGTGTGTGTGTGTGTGTGTACCTGGCGGTGCACCGTGTCCTGCTGCTGCTGTGGCAATAGCGAAGGCTGAAGCTGGAGAGACTGAGCAGCGTGAGTTCTCCCCTGGCTGGACTGCAGGTGCACAAGCACATAATTATCATCAAAGGCAACAACAGCGTGAACATAAACGCTAACTTTCCTTTCAATCTAACATAATGAAATATGATTCCAATGTCTATTGACTGAAATGATTTTTCTTTTATGTCTTATTGCTTTACCTGAATATAATCACTGTTTCCTTTATAAAGTAAAATTATTCTTTTCATAATTTTTTTTTTAAATTTTCCTGGAAAAACCTTGTTTGTATAGGGCAAAAAAAGTATTCATGTAAAACATTCAAAAAATACTCTGTAAATAGAAGATTATTTGTTATTAGGGAGTATACCAAATTTGATGGCTCTGAAATGGCCATGGACATTTGTGAGGCCTACATACTGTCACATGTTCTTAACATCAGCTATCAACACTTGAATTTATTATATGGTTTGTGACTTTTGAATGGATAAAATAAACAAAAATAAAGACGAAATAAAGATGCAATAAAAATATCAAATGTTCTGCTTGCAGCATAGACTTTCTTCAGTGTTATTCTGCCTGTCAATGAACTTGATCCACTGCAAGAAAAACCATGCTGACAAAGCTAAACACAAATACTTTAACAAACACATGTATATTGCTGTGTGATGTATGGGTTTTGTATTTTAGTATGATGTTAGTCTATAGGGTCAAGGATATCTGCCTAACTCTGTGGCTCTGTAAAGTAGCCTGCACACATAGGCGGCCTCTTACCAGGCTGTCTGTAGCGAAGGTGTCGAGGTGTGGAAGGAGAGCGGCACGGCGACATATCTCCTGCTTCACTGGTCTGTGGAGACTCTGGGATGATTTTCTCTAGTGACGCTGACTCCAGTACAGCTAGAAAGAAGGAAAAGCAAAGTTGAAGATTGCTGGTGGTGACCATGATGCTAATGGTTTTTTTACTGGACAAGAGGCCCATTATAACTAAATTAACAGAAATTACTCAGTATAGAGGTCATGCCTGGCATTACTGTTAGTTTGGTGAAACTGTTATAGTACTATGTGTTATGTGTGTGCATATATATATATATATATATATATATATATATATATACATATATACACACACACACACACACACACACATAGATAGATAGATAGATAGATAGATAGATAGATAGATAGATAGATAGATAGATAGATAGATAGATAGATAGATAGATAGATAGATAGATAGATAGATAGATAGATAGATAGATAGATAGATAGATAGATAGATTTAAAACAGTAAGATTTTTCACATAATCACTTTTAACTTGTGCTCAGAAAGTCACACTGGTAATTTACCAGCATGCATATGCACACACATTAAGGAGACAAGCCAAGAGAAAGATCAACAGACATATACGTGGATGCACATTAGCTGCAGGTACACATAAGCACAGAATGTACTGACTGATTAAGAGCCCAAGAAGCTGAGACAGTATAGAGAAGAGGTGAAGTGGCTCTGTGGTACCAATGCTAATGGGTCTTTGTCTCCTTGTAAGCGGTTAGAAGCACATGAACCTCTCATGCACATACACACACACACACACACACACACACACACACACACACACACACACACACACACACACACACACACACTCCATACACATGTGCAAATATTGATGAGTGTCAAATTGAAACCGTGTTGCCTGAGATGCCCTGACGCTATACCTCTCCAGCCTGAGAGAGCTGTTTAACACTACCATTAGAAGATCTGACCGTGTGTGGTGGGAAGGCGGCTTAGCTGACTTTGGCACACAAATGCCAGGAGATAATGATGTCCCACCAGGCACTTGTTCTGCTCTTACAGGGAAACACTTCACTCTGTCATTTGATTAGTAACCTTCAGTGCTTCATAAACCCTTTAGTACACCAACAACTCTTTAAATGTATAAGTTTAGTGGCAATACATACACCGATAATATACCTAAACAACAAACATAGTCCAGCACATAGTCTCTAACAGCATGTGGCCTGATGCTATTTGATATAAAGAAGCAGAAAAGGTTACCGGACATGCTTTTTGACCTGCAGGCAAAATTTAAAAAATCTACTGTTAATTTTAACCTGTGAAAGGTTTTTCTGACCCCCGGTGGTTTAATATCTTTCCTTGCTGAACTTCAGGTAATGCGAGTGCACTGCAACATCACTTATCACTCATTACTACTGTTACAAATGCAGCAAAGCACACTTCAGACCCCATATGCTTAACCTCATGTCAATATTAGTAGCAGCAGAAAGCTTTCAGCCTAATTTAAGTATTTTTGCGGTCTGACCTAATAACCTAAAGCTAACAAACAGGAGAAACATTCATATATTTATGTGCCTATTTGATTATTTACATAATCTGTATTATTTTTCAAGTACTAAAAGTTGACAATGATTATTTCCCTGTTTTTCTTATAATACAGTAATGAAAACCATAGAATAACAGATACATTTCAACAATATTCAGTCCTAATGTTCTGAAAAGTGTAATAGGGGAAACTATGAAATACCTCTGCGTATACTCCGTCGCAGTTTTCCACAGAAGGGGTCAATTCTGGGGACATCCTCTCCCTCTGCAGTTGAGCAGGGACTCTGGTCAGGCGAGGAGGGAATAGGAGGAACTTGGTCTTGTGTTGGCTTAGAATTGTTCGGTGGAGGAGAGGTGGAAGAGGGAGGGGGGGGAGGAGAGGAAGTAGTTGGGGTTGGGGTCTGAGGTGTTGGTGTCTGGGCAGATGTGGGGCTACTGCCAGCAGACTGGGAAGTGTTGTTGTTGACACTGTAATTGGACAGAGGACTGGTCAGATCAAGGCCCCCCACTCTGGCCGTGATAGGGGAGTGGAGGGACAGCTTTCGAGTTCGGACGGGGGAGGTGGTCCGGGATGGGATGGACAGAGGAGGTGGAGAGGAGAACTTGCGGCAGAGACGAGGAGATTTGTCATTCACGTGGTCCACGCCTCTGTTATTTTGATTGGTGGCAAAAAACAGCTCCAAAGACCTAAAAAGGAACATAAGTATTAGCAAAATAATGGAATTGTTAAAAACAAACAAAAAGAAAATCAATGAAGAAGTATTTTAAAAAAAAAAGACAAAAGAAAAAGGAATCTGGAGATGCATCAGCTCAAAACAAAATTGCTGGTCTTTGTAAAACTTTCATTACCAAAGGGTTTTGTTAGTTTTGTTGTTTTGTTTTCCTGTATTGGAGATAAGTGTTGATTTAGAGGCAGAATCCAATATCCCTGTGTGTTTTCATAAGTCAAAAAGGAGAAAAGTGTGGCTCGGGAAAGAATCTGAAATTATACAGTGCACTGGGTAAGCCTGAGGTACAGAGTACTAAATGTAGGACATTCAGCTACTGCGGTTATCCAGAGTGAATTAGAACGAGTGGGCACATACAGTACAGTAAGAAATTATTAAAACAGTGACACAATTTTCACTGTGATACAGTCATCTCTTCTACGCTGAGAAATAACTAGAAATAAAACAACATCTTTGAGGTTACCCTGGTGACCGTCAGCTTTAATAGTCAGATATTTATACACATATTAAATTAACAGTGTGGGAATCGCATACCTTTGCATGCATGACTTCCTACTTTCAAATAACGGCGGAGGCTAGACGAGTTAAGCTAACTCAGTGCTGCTCTAATTAAGCTGAACCCAGAGAGACTCGTCATCAAACTGTGGAGTCCTCCTTAGCACTATGAAACTTTATGGTATTTATCTAGTAGCTGCTTTCTTTTTATGAGCTGGAACTGCTTGGGTTTAGTCTCATTTGTGCCATCATTGATGGTTTAAATGAAGAAGGTATATTAAAATCAGTGACCACAGTTGGAGATTAGCTGTTGAACAAAATTTAAAAGCTTTCATTTATAGAGCCAGCTTAAAGTGTCGTGGCAGTGGTTTAGGGAACTACTTGCCGTACTTGATTAGTACACCAAAGGTAAGGTGACTGACTTGTGCATTTGAAACATTTAGTATCTGCATTATCTATAGTTGTTGTGATGATTGTTCATGTCCCCTGTCCTAAAACTGCTAGATCATACTGGGCTACAACTATAATGTGAATATATAACATGTCAACAAACTGGAAAGACTAGGATTTTAGTACTTGTGTGCTTTACATGGCAAAATCACAATCAACAAAAATGTGTTCAGCAGAAAAAAAACCAAAAATCATCTTTTATTGCAGATTTGCAACATTTGAAATGCTTTGTTTAGCAGGCAATGAAAGCGTATAAAAGCTTTAATCAACAAGCATTTGGATTATCAATCTTATGATGACATTTACCCTTCAAACAGACTTGTGTGTACAGAGCTACATCGAGAAAGAAGTAATCATGCGTAGATAAACACGCTCACAGTCATCATTTATTCACACAAATCTGTTATTCAGCAGGAAACAAGGGAAGAAATTGCAATCCAGATAGAAAGAGGAGGGAGAGAAATGATAGCAGCATAAGGGAAGAAAAGATACAGGAAACGCAGAGACGACCAATACCAAAGTACTTTGAAGCAGGGAATAGAAAAAGAGGACGCAAGCGGCAGAAGATGAGGGACTGGAGGAGAATAGTAAAAGGGATAAATGTGGTTAAGATAGATAGAAAAGCCTGAAGGACGCGATACTTCTGTGATAAAACATGCCACAGATCAGCTAAAGATTTAAGAAAATTATTTCATAATTTCTCCCATTCCCATCTTTATATTGTTGATTTAAAACTGGTGGAATCACAATACCTGTGAGTTTTCATATAAAGAGCTGTTCTGGCAAAGTAGAGAGGAAAGTCATGCATCAGTTAAGTATCATAGCAGAAAAAAAGAAGAACAAGCAGGAAAGTAGGACAGAGATAGCAAGAAGGGAGGCAGAAAGAAGAGCGTTGGTTACTTGGACTGATCCATGGCAATCTTCTTGATCTTCAGACTGTAGTCAGAACAAATGGGTGAGATGGACAGACGGTCAAATGAGTGGTACTGCATCCTGTAGCTGGAGGGGATATGGAGAGACAAGGGACATGGATGACACAAAATGTAACGAGATAGAGGATGGTTTAAGATAAGAATATGGAGTGATGATAAACAAATGTCTCAGAAGAGTAAAGGTGTGTTTGAGAAAGGGGACAGAAAGTGTGTGAGTCAGACAACAGCAGCACATGTTCAGTGTCCGAGATGTCAGCACATGACCACATGGGAGAAAACTCCAGCACAAAAACACAGAGCTGGGTTTTTGTACATGTATGTAGGTTTTATGCAGTGCATTTGCTCAGAGAGTTGGCATCATCTTCTTTAATCTAGAAAAACTAATAAAAAAGAGGTCAGCACTTCATCTGTCAGCCATTTGAGTCTTGTTCCAACACTAAACCAGCACAGAGTGTAAATTCACCTTTACCATCATTAATAGAGTTAGCTGATGACTTAGCACTCCACACTCATCAAAATATGCAAAGCTAAAACTGAGGCTTAAATACAGGTCAACAAACAATTGGATGTTTTCATGGTGGGCTGGACTTAAATTAAAACAATGTTTAGAATTTGACCCAATGATAGAATCAGACAAGAAGTTAAAGGAAAAGTTGTATTGCAATAGATTCTCTGCCCACGAATCACTGCAGAATTTCACAGTTTCAGAGTAAATCCATCCACTCATTAACGTGATATTTCTGTCTAGAACATAGAGGTAGACCCTTTTACTAGCATGGCTAAAAAGCACCAGTATAATAAAAAAAATCCCCTTATAAACCTCCTATTGTAAAGTTTTTTTTCTGGAGAACAAAGGAGAGGGGAAAAAAAGCTTTAGTAAAGAAGTGGCATCGCTTCACACAGGGTGGTTCATCTTCCCGCACCGCTCTGGTGCCTGGATGCCCCTCTCCTTTTCTCTTCCCAGGAAGGAAGGCCACAGGCCACAGTGAGTGAGGTAAGACATTTTAAAACCAACCCTCGGGTGGAGGAAAAGGCAAAGCTTTTCCAGTTGAAAAGCTAAGTTAAGTAAAGCTGTGAAAGGAATATAAACAGACAATTTTGATGTAGCCACGAGTGAGAGAGAAAGACAGAGAGCTTCAGAAAAGTAGAGAGACAGAGAAACGTCTCATCTGACACACTGATTATTCCTACGACTTTGCCAAAAACAGTTTGAAGCATCTGTTCAGTTGGTCTCCAAAAACAGGCCAGTTTATAGTTCAGTTAGTATGTGTTTAACCTTGTGGACAGAGGTGAAAGCTGCTTGCTTCTTCCAAAACACTGACCCACATCTGACTACATCATTCACATATTTACAAAAAAACAAGTAAAAGGACGCTCATAAAACCCTCTCAGAACACCCAGGTAATGGCAATATACAAGATTGTGTGTGTTTGTGTTTGCAAAGGGCACAAATACTGGCCGGAATAAATGTGCCCATGTTCATAAAAATTTGATGGAGCTCAAACCAGTAAACAGTATTTCCCTGAGGATTTATGAGGCGCTTCAATCTGCACGGTAGCAATGAGCATGTACAGAATCTGCTTTCAATCTGTGTTTGTGAATGGATATTTGCATGTGTGAATGGTAAGACCTGATAGGTATGGAGGAGAAGGGCTTCTTGTAGATGTCAGCCAGCTTGTCCATGACCACGGTTGCTGTGGTGAAGATCCTGTATGTGTGCAGGAAGGTGTTGAGGAAGTCTATGGAGAGGAAGCGAAGGTCGGTCAGCCTCTCCAGCAGCCGCTCCACGCTGGCATAACGGATCTGGGGGACCTTGCAGGAGTTGAGCGTCTTGCTGAAGCAAATGTCAACATCATCTTTATGGAGACGCACATCGGATCTGATGGATACACACGTACACACACACACAAACTCATAACCAAGCATGGGTGACTGCTGGGTTGCTAAGCTAGGCAAAGGTTGTGAAAGTAACTGAGCAAAAACAGCCAAGGAAGATAAAAAATTAATATAAAACCCACATATTTCAAAGAAAGGACGCAAATAAGGGAATACCGTCAAGCAGATTTCAGCAACAGCATAAATTAAAAGGAAACAAGCATAAAAAAACATATTTTTAACCAGATGTGCCATCACAGCTTATGTTCTGCGACACGTGCGTGGCATGAAGAGATAGCTTTCTCTTCACACACACAAAAATACTTACTTGATCATATAAGGCACTGTGACTTTTGAGTTTTCCTCAAACACACTGGTCATCAAGCCATTACAGCGAATATTATCTATGCACTGCAGAGACGGAGAGACGAGAGTAGCGAGATGAGCAAATGAAAAAAGAAAGAGAATTACATATATAATTATTATCATGTATTTTTTAAGCTACAGCATTTAAAGCAGATAAGTGTTCCAGATCTATTCTAAAATAATCTCGTACTGAACATCTGTTTTCTTCCTTTTTATTAACAGTAAATACAGCACACTCTTTGACACTGTTTCACAAGTCTCGTTGAAGGCACTAAAAAAAGAAAGTTATTTAAAACTGTAAGTGTATTTTTTTTTTGTGCCTGACTAGAATTAATGCAGAGTGACATGCTTGTTTGGTGTTACCCTGTTTATGAAGTACTGAGGCACTGAGCTGAACTCGGCCCTGGGGAACTGCACCACAGTCTGTGTTTACTAAGCCATCTCAATGCCCAACGGAGACATGCCCTCGTTATTTGAAGGTCCTTGTTTTTTGTCTTTGTCTGGGTGTATATTTGCATGATTTATGTAGTACCTGGCTAATATCACTAGTCCAGGCAGCTTTCTCCTGTCGTGACGGCGCCAGCAACACCACAGTAAAAGAAGACGAGTCTGACGGCTCTACGACAAGCTTAAAGTCCAGCTGACCAAACACCTGACCACCAGCTTTTGCTGTGATAGATGAAAAACAATGAGCTTTTTAAACTACAACGATCAATAATTCATAATTACTGTAAAAATAAAATGCTTGCACATGCACAGTCATATTTTACACACACATACACACAGCGGGTTAATTAGGGTTAACCTGCTATATTCCCTCTACACCCCTCTGAGGCTTAGGTGTAAAAATGAAGTGTACACATGTATGTGTTTGTCTCAACACTTTTTGTGTGTAGATGTTTCATCAGACTCCCTAATTGCAAAATGGAAAAAGCAAAACAAAAAAACTAATGGATCTGTAATGTTAAAAGAGCTAAACCTGACATTTAAAGGGGTGAGCGTTTGATAATTAAAGGGAAGTCACAGGCACTTATCACCTGACACCTAATTAACCTCAGTGAGTGGTAAGGGAACTAAATGAGCCATGAGCTGTGCATGTATTGATAGGATGGACATAGTACTTGATTGATGCGATATACTTACACTCTTCATCATTAGCGTCTGGTTCCTCAATAAGTGTGCAGTCAATAAGGGACAAAACTCCACCTTGCTGCAATAGTTTAAGAGAAAATATGCACAACTATTTATTGGTAATTTGGATGAAAATGAATGTTGATTTACAAAAGAAATGTCTTTGCTGAGGTATAGATACACTGTAAGGTTAACCCTGTTCTCACCTTGAGAAGGTGAAGTTTTCCCCCAGAGCTGCGTGTGCAAACAAGGAAGTGTTTGGTAAAGAGAAAGCACTGCCTTTCCCCTTCCTTCTTCAGAGAGAGGGACCCCAGGCGGACTTTGCTTAGTTTCCCTCGCTCTACCGATGGCAGCTGGATCAGAGACCCTGTGGAGCGGGAGACACGCAGGATGTTACATTTGATGAAACCGGCAGTAAGCTGAGGGATGTGTAGCATTTACAATGCCACAAACACAGACATGAAAAAGTGATGTTAAGTGTCTCAACATGACAGTGAATGAGATTAAAAAAAGGAGTTGATCTTTGAAACAGGCAGGTTTAGAGGCAAAAGTTAGTCCCTGTGGATTAAAAGCAGACAGGAACCATGGATCAGTAAAGTGCACTGTCAAAACTGGCATCAGGACTTCGTTTTGTGATGTGTGATTCAGCTGCAGGAGAAAAATCTCTGTCTTCTCTACAGCGCATTTGTAAGGAAACTTGACATTTGTCTTCCACCTCCTGTACTAGCAGGTATTATGACCCAAAAATGCACACTTTAAGTGGAAAATTGCATCCGCACAAAACTGCATAATTTTGATTAAAAGGATTTAACTGTAACAGAAGCAAGATTACATATTAAGTCACAGTAATAGTTCTTATATCCATAGATGAATGCAGATATGTCACTTCAACAGTATTAAGGTTTCTATTAAACTCTTATTTCTTGCTTTAGAATACTTTGGTATACAGAAGAGTTAATGGACCCCTTAATGACTGTAAAACACCCAGGTCCCGTGGCTGCAAAACAAACCCAAATCATCACCCCCTCACCACAATGGTGATGGTTGGTATGAGGTCTTGGTGCTGATATGCTGTGTTTGGTTTTCTGCAACTACTCTGAGAATTGCACAGTCTGACCTTGGGACGAATTTGCAGGGAGGTCCACTCCTGGGAAGACTGTGGAAATATAAACCTGAATGCTCCAGACCAGCAAATTTGCAAGTTTGGCTGTTATTTACCCTCTTAATTCCCACTGAAGCAGAAAAGGTGTACTACATTTTTCACAGGACTGTACATAGAGTCCTGTGAAACCTTTCTTTTTCTCATGACTGTAGCCTACACAGGTGATATTGACCAATCTATTTGTCTGCGCAGTGGGGAAAACCGTGGTCATGGTCTAAGTGCATCATGTAGGTGAGATGTGACTTAAAGGAATCATACACAGTATAATACTTAGTTAATAATCCATTAAGGCTTCTTTAGCAGTCAAACAGTCTAGACCAGGGGTGGCCAATTATTATCCCAAGGAGCCTTCTTGGCGCAGCCGTCCAACCAGTCACAGTCTGTTCTTGCTTAGCCCCTTGGGAAAATTAATTTCCCACCCTTGGTCCAGACAGTCTCGTTACTTTCTAATGCTCAGAAAAATATGTACCATTCAGTACCACATCTACATTTTAACTGGAAAAGCTGACAGAGAGACAAACCTTGCCACATAGCCAAGGCCATGAGACAATGAAAGATTTCCAACTTCACCGAGTTACTGATAACAAGTTGACAGAAAAGGAATTTCTTACTATCCAGGAAACCTTCAAAGATTTGCTGTCGTTGAGGTTTGCTCTGCACTGATGAAGACTCACCCTGTCTGACGAACGTCTGGCTGGTGTCCAGCAGGATGTCACAACCTTCCACTATCATCCGTTCTATAGCCAGGTTCTTACGGATGTTTTCTGTGTCGCTCACCTCATCGTGCATTACTCTGGCCACACACACAAACACACAAGTTTGTTCAGGATTCAACAACAAGAATTTTAATAGAAGTAGACGACTCTGACACATACCTGGACAATTCCTCTAATTTGGACTTGGCAAATTCAAGACTCTTGCGCTCCACATGCTCGTGAGGGGTGTGAGCCAGTAATTCATGCAAGGTGATGATGTAACGAGGAATCTTGTTGAAGGAAAGAGCACAATAGCACATGGAGACAAGAATTGAGAAAAACACACATGTTGGAGTCATGTTACGGTTTGTTTGTGAATACAAGAGGATGCTGATGGTCGTTATCTACCTGGAACATGGGGTATGTGAGAAAGGTCTCGAGCATCCTCCCCTCACAGGCAGCATTGGACTCGTACTGCTTTAGAAGCTTGTCAAAGTCTCTGTTCTGCTTACAGTTGGCCAAAACCTGCAGGCTGTACTGATGGTTACGCACAAACTCCTGGTAGATGTTTAGCATCGGCAGCAGGATGTCAAATAGGTCAGCTAGAACAAGAACACACACAGTACGTAAGCCACATGAAGGCAAAGTAGTTATTAAATTATCATTTGTAGTGCTAACAGCAGTACAGTAACAGTAGCTGATGTTCATAAGTATCTCCCATCTCCACTGCAGTTGGAGTATTAGCTTGAGGTTTTTCATGATTATTTGTGATTTTAAGGATTGTTATTCCTTTATCTGTACTTTGTGTGTACAGGTTTTTAATATATTCTTGTTTTGGTCTCTTAGATTTTTATGGATAGTACTTCATATGCTTGTATTTTTCTCCACTGTTTATGTCTCCTTCTCTTTTGTCTTTGTATTAGTTCTCTCTCTGCTTTTCCCTTACAATTTAATTTTGACACTTGCTTTTCCTTGTGTATATCTTGTTCTTTTATTTCCTGCCTTTGTCTTCCCTCTTTGTAATTTACTGCTCCCATCTGTGCTTCACTGTTCAATCAACCCTATGTGTATATACAGTCCTGTCTTGCCTTTTGTCAGCTCATCTGTCCTCTGTTTTTATTTACCAACCTAATTTATTTCCAGTCCACATTCAGTGAGTCTCTTGAGTTTTTTTTTTTCCTCCGGTTGAATGATCTTGCCAATGTTACTCTTTTTGTCTGGAATTAAAGTTATTTTATTTTTCCTAATTTAAATCTTTTAGGCACAGATTAGGCACCTGTCCACATGTTTACAGGTAAACATAGTTTGTGTGTGTGTGTGTGTGTGTGTGTGTGTGTGTGTGTGTGTGTGTGTGTGTGTGTGTGTGTGTGTGTGTGTGTTGTGGCCTTTTATCCACACGTAAATGTCATTTTAGGTCACTGACAATTGAACTTTTCAAAACATACTTCCACAGTGAAGAGTTTCAGAAGTACTGTTTCTGGGTTTTCATGCAGACAAGAGGAAAATAAAGTCTTGGAAAGGTCCTTTTTTTTCAGACCGCGTATTGAGTTATCCTTTGAAAGCTTCAAATTGGCCAATATTTCTGCTGAGTTATGTTTATATCACCACCTGTTGCTTCAGCACACTCCTGGCGTCAGTTTTCACAATGTCATGCTGAGGCATATGTTTTTCAAAATTAAATTTGCTCTAATTGTTGATGACTGTACAGAGGATAGAGACATGAATCTTTACAAAGAAATTTATGGGAGAATCTCAAAACGGCAAAGATGTTGGCCGCCCTCAAAATGCCCACCAAATAGTGAAAGAAAAAGAAAGAATAAAGAAAAAGCAAAATCCTGACTTCGGATGAAAATAAACTGCCAAATCAAACAGAAAGAAATGTATTTCTATAGCTGTCTCTGCAGAACCTATGTAGGTTAAACACACATTTTTCAGTTGGAATCGTAAGCATTTGAATAGTATTCATAGAAAACTGAAGAATCATAAATACTGATCGAAAATACTGCAGAATTTGTTGATATAAAACATATTATAGCTCAAAGGACTGCACTGAATCAGTCAGCAGGAAAGGGCGAGATAAGGCCTGTATGTTTAATCAGCAGACCCTGTTCTTTTTGAATTTGTCACAAGTAATTTGCTGCCACATCTTTCAGCAGTCCGTCTCCTAGGTGATGCTTATCTGATGGGGAGGGGTTGTTTTAGGAGGTGAAATGATGGGATGCCTTCTGGGTGGTCATTGTCTGTCAAGACAATAACTGCCCTTGTTGCCTACTGAGATAGGGAAACGTGCGTATGCATGAGTGAACAGAGCAGTAAGACGTCAAGTATGACGTCCGAATGAGACAAACTGGTTGCAGGGAACCACTGAAAGCCTGACCTTGATGTAACTGAATAGTTGCAGAGAGAGTGGGTTTGTGCGATTTTTGCGCTTTATGGGAGGACAAGTAACAGCTTACCCAGCACCAGAGTTGGCCAGTTGGCTATCCTCGCCTTCAGGCCTTGATGAAAAATCTCATGAAGGAACATGATGGTCTCACTGAAGACACGTTGCGAATACAGTGTGAAAACAGAAATGAAAAGAGGTTTCATCTATTTATTTATCTTCAGTCTCTGTCTCTGCTTGTGCACCATGCGTAATTAACACTCCAGAGATTAATTTGCACTCACAGATGGACAAAACATGTTTGTTAATCGCACACATACACACCTGTTGAGGAAGATGCTGCTGACGTCGTCATGGCTGATGGGGGGTTTCTTGGAGCTGGCAGCCATCCTCAAAGGTCTGAGGAAACAGTTGACCAGGATATAGAGCTGGTGGACGTACCTGTTATTCCACACATAGAAAAATTTTCAAACATTCAAATTAACCCATATTTTAATGATAATGTCTCATTAAAATAGTATTAATTGGGTGCCAACTTTGTAGTCAGATGATACAATTTCCTTTTATTTTGTTTTTAGCAGAAAGTTATACTCTGGTATACTTGGTTTTATTAATTCATTTGTTAGATTTGTAATTGTATTTTATATTTTTTTACATTGTATATTAGTATGTAGCACCCCCACCACCCCTGCACAATGACGCAGGCTACTGGTCAAATGTCAGCTGTCAATCAACAGTCAACATGTAGTGAGCACAGACCAGACTATGGAAGAAAAGCACATCAGCAGGTCGGTAGAGCGTAAACTGTTAGCAGCTGTTCCAGTGCTATAGAGTCCTGCTTTTTGCGTAGGACATTGATGCAAATTATGCTAGCACACGTTCCCAAAAGGCCTGAAGCAATGAGCATCGAGTGATAGCACTGTCACACTGGGAACAGAGGAACTGATAAAATCCACTGACATCCACTTTATTGTGGACTGCATTCATAATTTTCCCAACTTATGTAGTTAAGTCTGTTTAATGCTCCCTGGCAGCACCTGCCAAGCAGACAAGAAACGGATGCTAGAAGGATACAGATACATGAACAGCCAATCGCTGTCACTTATAACCACTAAATTTGAAAGCTGGAAAGAATCCCTCAAGAAAGGTGGGGCATTTTTACGCAGTTTTATTTACATTAAAATGTGTGCTTGAACTAATATTTAATATTGTGCTGTAGATGGCATGTAGAAAAGAAAATGATAGGACCGTGTAGTTTATGCACTCGCTGCTTAAGAAGCAAATAAACAGTCTTTGGATGAACAGGTCAGCTGGTTCATTTGTTTTTTAGGACGTGTGATCAACATAATCTGTCCATGACTTTGGCTAACATTACGAATCCAGAGAAAATCTGGGTTATTTTCCTTTGTCAATCAGGGTGTGTAAATATGACTGTGATTCACTTTAGATTTGTTAAATCTAAAAAAACCAACATTAAAACAATATATAAAGTACTCTATATTTATCAGTAGAGTATATATTGTATATATGATATATATACCCTACAGCACAGTGCTTACAGTAGAAAAGATCATGACAGTCATTGTTTCCTGAGCTATAGTCGACACAACAAGTGAGATAACATCATGTGCTCTAAGGCTTGACAACAGTGACAACTTTTGTGCAGCGTGTGTGACTCGAGGCGTAATGCATTTGCATACTCGGTCTCTGCCTCCACCATATTGAAGACGATCTGGTTCCTCTTCCTCATGCTTTCAGCGTGAGGAGAGCAGATGTAGTCCTGAACAATGATCTTCCACTTCCTCCGACAGAGCCATCCCCGCATGAAACTCTGAACCTACAGATATAAAGACGTAGTAGTACAACAGATACAAATGAAAAAGCTTAGACAAGTTGGGTTATTTTTGTTTTTGTGACTGTACTATATTTATTCATTCACCTTTTTGATCTTTTTGATATCCGGGTCGTCGTTTTCATGGAAGACATGGTAAGGCCGCATGCGCTCCTTAGTTTTGTTCAGAGCTATAATCTATTGGAGAAATTCAGACACAAATATGAGCACAATGTAGATGGTTTGACAAAAAAGATTTAAATTGTTAGGTAAGAAAAATATCCATAAGACTTAATATAAACTTTCCGCTTTTTCTAGAAGGACGTTATATTCCTGTAGGAATCACCATTGATCTTTTGTGTGTGCGATAATCATTGTTGGTGTGTTTTCACCAGATAAGCATTAGACTTCCTCATCTTTGACAATCTGCTGCCTTCATTCAGAAAGAGAAAATGAGAGAAGATGGAGGCTCTCAGCTGGTGATGGTAAACAAATTAAGGATTACATCATGCGCCTAATCACCTGAAGTGCATCGTAGGGCACAGAAAGTTCAATCTTCTCCTATTCTAAACGAATCGATATAAAGCATACTAGTCACTTTTTTTTGTCTGATTTTACAGCTGTGAAATACTCAATGCAGACAACAGAGACAGATAAGCCTGTGACATTTACTCGCTGCAGGCAAGAAAAGACAACCACAAAGTTAATGCCATCTTCATTAGCTCTGAAAATGAGGAAAGGGAATGAGCTGGACAGATGCCAGATCTCTTAGTGGAAAAACAGAAAGTCAAATTTCACTACAATACAGAGGACCAGTTTTAAATACCAGAGATGACCAACTTCAAACATAGCCAGTAAAGGATTCTTCCTGCCAACACTACCATCTGTGCAGAAATAAACCCAGCAGAGGTTAGGACGAGCTGTAATACTGGTTTAGCCTCAACTATTTGTTCATACCTTTAGGCTTCTGACAGGCGTCTGACAGTATAAGTTTATTATATAATGAGTAAAGGATGAAAGATGAAACCCAAAACATTTTCAGCCACAGCGCTTCATCTTCATTTTCTTATTCACTAGCGTGATCATGCAAATGGCAGCAGAGAGGAGCATGTCTGCCAACTGTTGACAGTTACAGTGGCTAGTTGGTTTAATTATTCATAAACACGGAGCAACACACACACACACAAACAAACAAACAAACACGGGTAAGCTTTAATGAGATGGATCACCAACTGCACACTGGCTTTCTCTTTTTCCACGAGCAGTCCCATTGCACTGGCAGATGTTTCTTAACATAAAATTACTTTCTTTCACGTTTTCATTATCAGCCAGACTCCGTGTATCCTGCCAATGACAAATAACACCAGTTCTTTTAGGGAGAAGTATCTGCCACACTTGTTGCTTCGAGGGAGCATTTCAAATAAAATCATCATTAGGTGCTAATTCGCTAAACAGAGTGCTGCTCCTGTCCCAAAGACAGAAATACCATATGCAAGTCAAATGTTTCTGCAAGCGGCTATTGACGCAAATGAGCAGAGCGCTGTCAAGTGACAATGACAGCAGAGCTTTGATTTGTGGAAATGTTTGCAGCCGGCCCAAATAAGCAAATAACATCGCCTGGGGACAACTGCTGCACAGACAAGAATTCAATTTGAGTCGAGCAGCTGCACAATCAGAATAACTTTACAGTTCCTTCTGGTAATTCCTGTGCCACATAGAAGAACATAGCATTGGGAGAACAGCGCTCCACACATAGCATTCATTTCTTCTTTGATAGAAGAATCATGATAACTTAAATTGTTTAAAAAGGAAAACAATGCAATTACTTTATCTTTATTTTTACAGGCTGATATTTTCTGAATAAAATAACTATAGATTTTGTATCACCTGATACACTACCAGTGAATAATTCTAATGAAATCACGCATAGCTTAATTCAAGAAGGCCACAGATAACAATTTAGCCACAATGTCAGCTAAACGTTTAGCTCTTGCCCTTTTATGCCATTTAAACTGCTTTAGTATGCCTACTGTTCCCATGCATCTGCAAGTGGCTTTGCAACCCGCCTTTACCCCAGCTACTTCTTTTATGCTTTTTAACTCTTTCCCTCTTGTTTCCTTTTCTGAACTGAGTGTTTTCTGTCATATTTCAGGACTGCTTCTAGAACAAAATGACTGAGCGTGCATCAGAAGTTAGTAACTCCCCATTCCTGTGCAGCTTACTAGGGCTACCCTTGGAAAAATCAGGAATCTGATCCCATCCGAGGGATTTAAAAAAATGTTTTATCTAATCTAATCTATGTGCTGTCTAATCTGTGCTGGGGTCTTGCTGCACCTCACTTTGTTGGAGTTTTCTAGCTCCTGTAATTCTTTCTTATTAACAATGTTGCAGAGGTCACTTTTGTTTTGTATGTGAGCATGGGCATGTGATTTATCGCATGTGGGGTTGGCAGCTGTTTGCAATAAAACTGATGGACTGTCTTTATTGAACAGTGGGCTTTTCTTCCTACGCTCAGAGGTAACTGAAAACCATTCCCACTCACACCTTTCCTGAGAAAAGACACACATAGTGAATACCAGCATGGTCTATGTACGCCCTACATATCTTTCTTTATTGAGTGACTTGAATTGTGATTTAGGCTGGGAGGGTAATCGCAGAATTAAAGTTTCTTAACATTTTCTTAAAATCAACTTGGTGGAAGGCTACAATCTGTCAAGAGCAAAATACAATTTAAAGACATAGTGAAAAAGCTAATACAGTTTCCAAGACATAAGACATAAGACTCCTGTACAACTTCAAAAACTGTATGACTCATCCTGAAGGGCATCCAGATTCATCAACTCAAATATAATTTGTGGTGACTACCTAACTCTGCCTATCATATAAAACTGCACTGGCTGTTTTGCTCAGTTGCTGCATAAAGGTATTTGTTTGCTTAAAAATCTTAAAAATCCTTGCTTACAGTTCTTTTGAAAAAGCATGCATGATTTTAAATATTAGAGTCCTTAAGACTTCTGTCTCAAGAAGTCCTAAGAATTTGACAATGCTATAATAGTAAGCTGATTTTAATAATATAGTTCCTAGAGTTCCTTTCAAAGTAACCTGTGTAACAGAACACCAGCCTCCCAGAGCTAGCCTGTCAGAAGTACAGAGTACTGTGTGCTTTTTACTATGAAGACAGCTAGTCCAGAACCCAAGGGGTTATTTTAATAAAGAGGGCAGTTAAATGCAGAGAATCAGATGCTATCTTCTGAATTCTTTGAGATGTACTTGCTGAACTGTATCCTAGAGAAAGAATTTTACAATCTAAAAAAGAAAAAAACATTTCCAACAGAATTCCACAAACAATACAAATTATCTGTGATATGAATAAAATGTTAACAATTCCACCTTTTAAGGTCTATGTGCATTTGTGTCGTGCGTTTTCACACATGCATAATGTACCTCTGCTTTAAGCCTCTCAATTTCAGTGTCCTGATCTTCTAGCTGAGTGCGCAGCTGATTGGCAGCCACCTTCTCAGTCTCCACGATCTGTACAAGGTGGATGTATTTCTGCATCAGCACCTCTCGTTCGATGATAATGTCAGAGTAACTGAAAAGTTCACAGAGGATAAAATGTCATTATAAACAGCTAAATAATGTGCTGAAAACAGAATGTATACAAAAATAAAAAATGAATAAGTAGTCGCATGCATAAAACACAGCAGCTCTCACTGCTTGCTGCTGTAGTTTATATAGTGGGGGAAATGAGTATTTGAAAGAAAAGAATTGAACAGTCTCTCATTTTTATGGTAGTTTCATTTTAATGGAGAAACAGAATATCAACCAAAAATCCTAAGAAAAAAAACACATTACATAAAATGTATAAATGGATTTGCATTAAGTGAAATAAGTACTTGATACTCAAACAAAACATGACTTGTTTCATGTTTCTTGGCTACTGTATGGCAACTCAAGTAGCTCAAGAAACTCAAATGTCAGCTCCCCGCACAGACTTTCTACAGGACTGAGGACTTGGAGACAGGCTAAGCCACTCCATGACCTTCATGTACATGTACATGTTACCTCAGTGATATGTTTTGGTGCTGTAGTGTTCTTGCTGAGGTAAGAGGGTTCTCCTTCAGCCCTTAGAAAAAAACAGCCTCAAAGCCTGAAAATGTTTGTTTGATTGTGGGGATGGTGTTGTTTGGTTCATTAATTATTTCACTCAGTGACATGCAAATCAATTTACAACTTTTATGCCTTTTTTTCTGGATTTGTGGTTGATATTCTCTCTCTTTCCATTAAAATGGAACTAACATAAAAATAGAGACTGTTCATTTCTTTGCAAGTCAGCAAACTTGCAAATTCAGCAGGAGATCAAATAATTATTTATCCCATTGATTATTGCTTCAAAGAATAACAAAAATCTATTTATGACTGAAATATATGCTACTGTGTAACCAAAAATGTGTTTTCATTACAAGAGGACCCTGATGTTGAAAAAATCTATAGTAGATAGTATCTAACTTCCCTTTAAAACTGAAGCTCATAATTGTACTCATACATAGGGCACTAGTGCAATTATAAAGCACCAACCACAAAATAGAGGCAATCCCAAGATGCTTTAAAGCTATTAAATATTCTGTAACTTATAATTCACCAAAATGTCAGAATATTGCAAGTTTTGCAGGTCTTATTAATGAGCCCTTTACAAATCCTGTATATTGACCAAAATGGTAAATATATTGTCAGTTACGTATAGTTATGTGTTTCTCAGACTGAATGTTTGAACATTTTAGTGTCTTTTTGACTTGGGCTGTTTACTATATAAAGCTGATACATAAAGGATGACTTTTGTACAATACTGACAAGAGCTGAAAGTGATTTAAAAAATGGCAATATATTTTTAGAAGTACTCTTTATATAGTAATGTACTGTGCGTACCTGGCCTGCTGGATGGCCTCCACCCATTCATCGCACTCACACTCTTCCTCTGTCCGTAGCTCCAGTGGTTTCTGTCCATCATGACCAAACATGATGAGGAAGTAGTGCTGACAGAGAGATGAAGAAGGAAAAAAAGATTTTTACATTATTGTGTCACCCTGAAACTGGACAGAAGTCTTTTTGTTGTACCTTTGCTAATAATACCAATGCTGCAACTTTAAAATATTTCTTTGTATTTGCTTTCTATCTTTTAATTGCACAGATTATTCCCACGTAGAGTTCGGCACACCTTACACTAAGCAGCAATATCTATCCCATAGGGTGGAGAAAAAGGGACACAGTACGGGGGAGGATGGGTGGCTCAGCACGCTTAGCACACAGTTCTCATCTGTTGCTCCCTTCTCCACCAGCCTTTTGCCAATTAGCTCGCTCGTTGCCTCCCTCTTTCCCTTCTCTCGTTTTCTGTCTGCCTCTCTTATTACTCTGATGAATTTCGCTATGTAACTGCCTTCAAAACACTTCCCCACACTTACACACAGACACATGTCAATACATGCAAGTGCAGAGGCACACACCTACAGTAGAGCACACACACTAGGCATTATGTGAAGTGATAGAGGCTTTTATTCAAATGGTCATGTCCTGGGGCACTGGGTTACCAGAAGAGCTGCTATTCTTAGTCAAGGAAAACAGGGACGACCGAGCTCTGCATTGGCTTTCTCTCTCCTCCTCTTCTCTTCTCTTTATCCCACCACCTCTTTCCTCCTCCCTCTCTCTCTTTGCACTTCACCTATCATCCCACTCCACCTCCTCTGCCCCGCTCAACCAGCATCCTCACTTTTCTTGTTTTCTAATCCCACTCCTCCTCCTCCACATCCCTTCGTACTTTCATCTCTTTGTGTCTCTCAGTAAGGACTCGGTGAACCAGATAGAGTCCAGAGGAGAGACGTTTGCCCTGCAGGAGGATGGTTGGGCTTTGGCCCCTGCAGTGGGGATGAGCTGGGGACTGAGGACAGGATATGTGAACACACACACACACTCATAGACCCTCCTCCATTTCTATCCCCCTATCTCAGCTTTTTATGTATCTGTCATTTCGATTCACTGCCTGGCTGTATTTTATTATATCAACAATAATCTGTGCTCTAACAGCCTTTGACAGGGAGAAGGATGGGAGGAGAGAGGAAGAGAGAGACAGGAGAGGGAGGTGTTACATAACATTTCTTAACTGAGTACATATTTCTAAATTGTGTCACAACCCAACAAGATAACATTTCCATGGCAACAAAATATCTGCCGCTGCTGCCTTGTTTTGCACTTCCATTTTCTCCTTACGAGTGCTGCCTCTATTCATTTAAGGCTTTTATTTATCCATCATGCAATTTCAGGCATAAAAGGAAATAGTCTTCAACAGGAAGTGAAACATTGAGCTTAAATCTCTAGATGGATAACCTTTTGCACATCTAACGTAATAGCTGTTATGTATTTGACCAACTGTACTATACGAGTCAGATGACAATTAATCTATATTTGCATACATGCAAATATTTCCACATCATGTTGATTCAAGATCCTTTGATCACACAGATGTCTGTGTTGTTATTTTCACATAGAACAAATCAATGTGCTTTTGACATGCTTGCTTAAATAATCACAGCTTTTAATTAAAGTGAAAGCAGGAACACAACAGTCTAAAATAAAAGTAAGAGTCTTGCATTAAAAGAAAGGCTATGACATATATGTACTATGGCTAGTACATATCCTGGATCTGCTGTTGTTGAATTGTGCTATACAAATAAATTTGCCTTGCCTTGCCTTGCCTAAAAATGTTAATTCAATAATTGTATTTTCAGCATATAGTAGTTAAATATAAAAGTCTACATATAAGTAACAATCTACTAGTAAACAAACTTAAAGTTGTGTAGTACTCTATTGACTTTTGGACCAGTCGTAGCACCACAGACCTACTGTTTTCCCATTTTTCTTGTTTTGTTCATGAAACATGAATGCGGATGCACAAACGTGATTGGATGGAGAGCGGCACAGTGCGCTTGTAATATGCAAGTTACAGCACAATTTAAAATATTAAAAAGAATAAGGTTTGCGGATGTTTATGTGGAAGGAAGCGCAATACCTTAGTTTCTTAGACTTCAGGCCTTTATAGAGTGATTAGGTGAGAAAAACTGAAGGTAAACATAACTTCTATTGTTTTTTAAAAAAAAAAAACCTGTCAGGGCACCTTTAAGCAAAGTATAAATTTTCATGCTCAGTGCAGTTTATATTACATATTATCCTTTTCCCCTTTCAGGCATGTAACTTATTACGCAATACAAACATTGCACTTCTTTGCACTAAATTTCTCTTTGAATGTAATTAACTACCTTTTGATTTATACCTGCTACTTAACAGATCCTAAAGATGGTATGTATGCTTGATATATATTTTTGTATCCTGCCTTAACATTTATATTCTACCATTCTGCCAAGTTTTTTCTGCAACTGTGGCCCAATTGTCACCAGGCAATCATTAAAGTTTAATGTTACCGCATCCTTTACAGAAGATTCTGCATCATGCTGGACCCCTAAAGCATTCCAGTGAATTGCTCTGTAACATTGTACTGTGTCCTCATTAGTTGGAGGAATTTTTTAATTTTTTTTTTGAGGACTTGACTGCTTTTACGAAACCTATAAACAAAGCGAGAGCTCTGCACATCTCATAGATGGTACTCTGACTGTCTCTGAGCTATGACCACAGAGCTTCCCAACTTTACAGTACAGATCTGGACTCCTGGCTCAGTCTCCCTTCAAATCGGCTCAAGCGTACCCTTCATCCCTGAGGGCCTTCGTTGTACTGTAAGAAATTTCATTTAGACAAATAAAGACAGCGAGGAAACAAAAGAGAAAAAAGACACTGAGCTTTTTTTGTGCTCTTTCACTCTTTATTTCACTTGCAACCAATTTAACAGTCCCCTGATACACTCTTTAAATCCTGATGTGAGAAACAGCAGAAATCGGGCCGTGACAGCATGACATAAAGTCTATTTTACTTTCACCAAGCAAAGCTTAAGAACAATGTAAGGCAAAAATGTTATTGTGCAAAACCATTTTTCACTTCAATCTTTAAAACTACCTGCTGTGAAAACAGAGGTGAGGAGCTCTTCGAACAAAAAAAATGACTTTCACAGTCCAGCACAGCCTAAATGTTGGGGAATGAATGCCTGCCACACACATGTACGAGTTAATAATAGTGCAGATGATGAAAAGCTTTTTCTCATTATTAAAGATTTATGAAAGCTTAAAATGAAATTTGTGTTAATAGATTTATTAGCCAAAAATGGCTGGCGGACCCAGAAATACTCATCTTTTTTAATAAATATTTAAAAGCAGAGATGGCAGAATCACTGTGATTGGGGACTAAAACAGCCAATAATGATGCAACACTACCGTCTGCTTTGGGATCTGCACTGATGAGAGCAAAAATTGCATTTTGCAGCACTACAAATGGGCCTTAGTTTTTCACTTCATTCTAAATATCAGAATCTCAAAGCTATTTTCTGCATCAGTGTTCTGTGCTTCAAAGAGCCATTAAACCCCAAACTATTAGAAGTTTTAGCTTCACTGGAGTTAAATTAGTATGACCCCAGCTCAGAAACTCCACAGTCACACATGCTGTAGTATATAACTTGTAGGGTAGTTTGGAATTCATGTCTCAAACACGAAGCCCAAAAGACATTGAATTTTATCATGAAAGAAAGGCAATTTTGCCAGCCTTGCTATCAAAAACCCAATATAATTTCATGACTAGGGTATGAGCCAGTTGTGTTTATGCACAAAAGCACACAACAGGTGTTTGTGACCGTTTCAGCTGCTAGAATAGTGAAGCTGTAAGTAGGTCTGCTTGCTGTTTTTCTAGTTTAGCTGTATACATAACCATTAGCACATTACTTGTTCATTGGTATATGCACAGCACAAGTGCAACTTGAGTCAAACCTTATTAGGTGGAAAAGTCACCAAAGTTTTTAAGCAGTTAAAAAATTGAATTGAAATTATGACTATCACTTTAAACCTCTATAAAAACGGAGCTGAATCTCAGACGCTGCATCTCAGACGCTGCATCTCAGACGCTGCATCTCAGACGCTGCATCTCAGACGCTGCATCTCAGACGCTGCATCTCAGACGCTCCGTTAGCTGTTAGCATTTATCATAGAAAAAGACTGAACACATTTTATATTTTTGGAATTTCCTTTAGACAGACAAGACCTAGGTAGAGGCACTTGTCTATAATGCACACCACCACTTTTGGAGCAAACCAAACACATTATATCAGCATAAACAGCTAATAGCAACTGTCAGTTGGTGTCTATTGTCTATCTGTCCAAAAGCTAAAGTTTGGCTGAAACTGCATCATGCAACAGGACAATGATCCCAGGCACACCAGCACAACTACAGCAGAAAGAAACAGAAAAAAAGGTGTTTCAATTGTGCGGTCAAAATTCAGACCTCATCCAAAGCAAACTGTAGTGTGCTTAGTTTTTTTTTTGTTTTTTTTTTTTTTTTTTGTTTTTTTTTACAGGACTTGGTGGAGTCCTCCCATGACCAAACTTAAAAATTTAAAAATCAACACTTCATTACATTATGTTGGATGAACCTAATCCAGTAGCTCAACAGAAAAGGTACAGAACATCCAATTCCTAAAAGGATTTAATATGGTTTGTAAATGGTTAACTGTGATGAGTAAGCAGCTGAAAAATGTTTATAAATATCAACACTACTGCTTTCACTTCTTAATCACAAATCTAATGCAAATGTGGCAGCGCAGCTAGCACACAGGTGCACAATTCACAAAAATAATGGCCTCACACAGTGTGTGGAGTTGTGTGTCATAGGACTATCAAAAGCAAACCACTATGCTAAACTTAATTTGGACTTTAGGTGTATGGAAACAAATAATAAAAAAAGAAACCAGTGCCACCATTGAGTCAAAAATGCTACAAGCGCAGATGCAACAGAACAAGCATTCAACCAAAAAAGGAAAATGTAGCTGAGTCTGTGACATGAGAGAAATAAAGAGAAGGGATTGACACGTAGATAATGAGAGAGAACAGTT